TTTTTATGTTCCCAACTCCTGCTACTATGGTTAATGAATCATCAATAATAAGGAAAAGTAAATTGACTATTGAGATGGAATGTAGTAAGTATTTTGAACTTATGAATAGAAAAAAGAGGACGAGAATATGCGCGGAAGGCCAATGAGGTTAAGTTGCTTTGGTTGACCCATTTCCTTATAAAAACGTGAAAGTAGGATAAGGAAATTCCATAAGCTAGTTTAATCAGCCTACTGTAATGAGTTGACAAAGAAGGATAAAAGAAATTATATTGGTTGTTATAATTGTTTAATTATAATTTTACAAACAAAAAAAGAGAGTAATTAGTAATTAAGAATATTGAGTATTAATTAAAGTTATTGACATATTTAGGTATTAAAGTAGAAAGTAGCAATTTTGAATTGAGCTCTCAAGTGGGAAATTCCATGATAGAAAAGAGGATAGAATGAAAAGAATTAATTTCACAAAAACTTAGAATAACAAAAACATTAATATATATATGCATATGAACTAAATAGTTGGAGATAATTATCCTCCCTCCCTAGCTTTAGTCCAAATAAGGTAAAAAACGAAAAAAAAAAAAAATTATGAGAAGCAAAGAAGAACACCGACTAGCAAGGAAGAAACTAAGTGAAGTTTTACCTCAATAACACAAAGGAACCCATTTTGCCCTCATATGCTATGAAAAAGCGAAGTACATCACATGGCTCGATTTTTTTAAACATTGAGTTTTAATTACCCAATTTAATTTAATTGTAAAAATTGTTTAATCATCTGCACACTTCTAAACATATGTAATCTCTATTGATATTATGTTGAAATATGAGATAAACGAATGATAACACTTATTGATCAATGTAAAAGCTAAAGTATTATCAAATTATTAAAATGATTAAATGAATGTGACAATCTCTCAAATTATTAAGATGATTAAACAAATGTGATAATTCACTAAGAAGATGTTAGAAAAAGAGTATCTATGCTTCACCATACTAATTAATACTCTGTCAAGTATGAAGTGATATGTGAACATATATCTATCTAAAGTGATTAAGTACCAGTGCACTTAATAGACTAGTGGACTGCAGGTTTTGCAAGGTTTCTAATACTAGTACTTTTAAAATGAAATTTTAAAAAAATATATAAAAATGTGAATACTTAAAAAATCTAATTCACTATCCCTTTTAGGTTACCATATAATCAAGGTCAACGTGAATGATCATGAATTAAATGCTCAAGTTCTTGATTTCCCTCTTGGCATCATTTTTATTGTTATAAAAACTTGAGTCGTAATAAAAAAAATATATATATATATATAGGTTTATTATAATTATTATTTTATGATTGGTTGTACAGTATTAAGACCATAATTTTATATATTAAGAGATTTTGCAGTTATATAAAAGATCGTATACTCAAGGTCTTAAGAATTTTTTTGAGGCAAAGTTGCTCTTAGATCAAAAGACATTTTCAAATGAGGAGAGATATCAAAAGATATTTGAAATGATTCTTAATCAAGGCATGCAAATAGTATTGTTTATTCTCTTCTTCCATGCTAACTCTTTTGCACATTTTAGACTATATTTTCTATCTTCGCAGTTGTTACATCTGAGCTTGGGAGAAATGTAAACATCTTATCAATGGTGAATTGTATTTTTATTTTAGAGTTGTTCTAATGAAATTGTAAGTTCAATTATTGAATAAATTTATTTTAGATCTCACTCATTCAGATGTTAAAACTAGGAGTATTCAATTCAAGATTTTGCATAATTTAATCGTATAGATGTAAATTATGAATTAACTATAGCTCTTTCAAACATGGATGTTTGATCACTTTAAATAATGTAGGTTTTTTAGGAAAGGTATGACAGTATATCAAATATATAGATTATAAATTATTTATTATTTTAAATATAAAATACATAATATATAAAAAATAAATAAATAATTTTTTTAAAAAATAAAACGCGTCAGTATATGCAAGATCTCATCTCTTTGGACTTTTATTCTTCAATCTCACAACTATATCCCCACTCTTGCTCAAGAGGAAGAAATGGAAAGCAAAGATGTGAAGGTCACAATCCGCCCATATAAAATCTCAGACGTTGATGACTTCATGATCTATGCCGGAGATGAGAGCGTAACCCGATTCACTCGCTGTGAAACTTTTATCTCTAAAGAAGAAGCCATAAACTACATCAAGAACTTCTGCATCCCACACCCCTTTTGCAGATCAATCTGCATAGACGACCGCTCGATCGGACTCATCTTCATCATGCCCTGTACAGGTGATTATAATAAGTGTAGAGCAGTACTGGGGTATGCGGTGGCTGCTGAGTATTGGGGCCAAGGGATAGCCACCATGGCTGTAAAAATGATTGTCTCTCAAGGTTTTAAGGAATTCCCAGATGTGATCAGAATTGAAGCTTTGGTTCAGGTAGAAAATAAGGCATCGCAAAGGGTTTTGCAGAAAGCTGGCTTTACTCAAGAAGCTCTCTTGAGAAAGTACACATACAATAAAGGTGAAGTTAGAGATATGTTCATGTTCAGTCTCCTGTCTTCTGATCATCATCCTTGATTTCACTTATATTAATATGTAATAAATATATAACATTGTTGTATGGAAATATTTAATCTTTATTCATGTGCTTCTTTTCTGATGGTTGGTGAATCTTATTAATCTTCAATGTTTATCTTTCGTATGTCGTTTCAATTCCAACGTTAAATTATTGAGTGGAATATGCGGTGAACATTTTGTTTTTATTAACCCAACAGTAGTTGCAGCTTTATATATTTAATTCTCTGAATTGATGGCCATTATTTTTATGTTTGCTCTCATAGATCACCAGGTTCACTGCATTATCCCACTCAAATTGTTATATATATATATATATATTTATATATTTTTTCTATAGGTTGTTCTATAGATACAACTAGTTATATATATATATATATATATACAGAGAGAGAGAGAGAGAGAGAGAGAGAGCGCGACTAGCTGGATAATCATGTTCCCTTTAGTTGGTCTATTTTTAATTCATTTCTATAAATATATTATATATATATATATCCATCAGGGGACGGTGCGATTTGCCATGTTTGACAGCAACAGAAAAATTGCGGTTCCCTAGACTATCATGTTGGGAAAGAAGTATGTATATATAAAGAATGTTCGGTAGCGGAACATCAAAAAGCGCCCGTGGCCTAATGGATAAGGCGTTTGACTTCTAATCAAGCGATTGTGGGTTCGAGTCCCACCGGGCGTGCATTTTTATTTCCTCTTTTCTTAAGTCTGCTGTGCTTATTTTTTCCACTCTAAATTACGATATTACCCATTTCCAATCTACTATTTTTTTTTTTTAAATTTCTTTTTTGGTTTTTCTATTTATAAGTTCTGTGGTGATATTTATATTCACAAATTCAGTGTTTAATAATTAATCTTAGAAATAAATATCTAAATAAACATGACCCACGCAGAGAAAACAAAAAACAAAAACAAAAATAAAAATCCATTATAATCAAATAAAATATCTTTTAAAAAAATAAATAAAGTTTTAATTATTCATATTGAGAATCAATAACGTAATGTATTTTTTCTCCACTTCTTAATGTAATATTTAATATAGAATTTCATCAATGGATCTTTTTTTATTTATAAATTTTATGTCGAAATTTATATACGTAACTCACGTTTTTAATAATTAATATAAGGACTCTAAATATAACTGATTCAGAGAGAAAAAAAAAGAAAAAAATCCATTATAATCAAATAAAATATTTTTAAAAAAAATTAAAAAAAAAAGTCATAATTATTAATATTGAGAACAAATAATGTAAGTGAAAAATAAGGGACGTAGAAGAGATAAAAATGAGGGGCCAATATATAATTGGAAATATTTAGTTGCAGAGAAATAAGATTGCTACTGTAAGAAAATTGAAGAAGCTTCACCATGGCAGAAGACCAAAAAAAACTAAAGAAGCTTTTGCTTTGCAGATAGAGAAGAAGTTGCATGTTGCAGGTTGAATTCAGAAAAACCCAACATGATGATGCAAGTATAAGAATTACCAATGTTAGATGCAGTTATGAGTGAAGGGTTTATCCAAATATTTTTCAAAAATTATGTATTTAATTAACCCTTCTTGAATGTCAACCATAAAAATAATTTTCTTTTTAATTTTTTTATTAACTGAAATATCTAATTTCACCATCAATTTTTATAAAATATTCAAATTGTACCGTAAATATTTTGGGTATAAATTAATTTTCAATTTTAAATAATATACAAAATACCCATTCACTATTGAAAAAATTTTAATACCATCAAATATTAGCACACACAGATACCAACTTTACTTATTTTAATCAATATGGTTGTCGTATAGATAACATGTGACGTCCACGTAGATTTTTATAAAAATCATATCTTTGTTTAGATTCTTCCGCCACAAACTCCAAAACACCCGTTTTCTCCACTAAGGTGTAGCCTTTTAATGGAAACATCCCCCAAC